CCCCCTTCTGTCAGCCCCTGACAGTGTCTCCCTGGAAAGACTGGTGCAGGTAGCCATGGAGAGAGGCTACTCAGCGCAGGGAGAGATGTTCTCTGGTGAGTTGGCTGGGAAACACCTCAAGCCCTACGTTTCACCGGCTCCTCTCTAGGCCAGCTGGGGCACTGAGCGTGCATGAGGAGGTCTCATTCCCTTCTCCTGGCCCATCCCCTTACAGTGTAGACCAAAGTTGTTACCAGGAGAACGCAGACCATCTTTATGGCAAAGTAGTTAAAAAACTGACCCTTTGTGCTTCACTTATTTTTTTTGCATTTTTTTTTTTTTTTGTAGTACTGGGAATTGAACACAAGATTGTAAGGCAAGCTCTCTACTACAGAGCTACACCCCTAGCCTTTCACCAAGGGATTCAAGGCAGGGGCTCTACCACACCCCCAGCCCCTCACTGGGGGATTCTAGGCAGGGGCTCTACCACTGAGCCGCACCCCCAGCCCCTCACTGGGGGATTCTAGGCAGGGGCTCTGTCACTGTGTTCTATTTCCAGCCAATTTTTTCTTATGAGACATGGGCTCACTAAATTGCTCAGCCTGGTCGTGAACTCATTGGGTAACCCAGGCAGGTTTTGAACATTTGATCCTCTCCTACCTCAGTCTCTGAAATAACTGGGATTACAGGTCTGTGCCATCAGGCCCAGCTTGTGCCTCAGCTTCTGAATTTGCACAAATGATAAGTCTTTTGAAATGATTCTCATTCATATATTTATTTAATCCACACTTTCTCCCTTTCTCTCTCTTCCTCTCTGCCCCGCCCCCCTTCTCCAGTGGCTGACATGGCCAAACTGGCCCAGGAGACCTTGGACTGCCAGGCTGAGCTCCTCTGTGGTGGCCTAGGTGGCCCCAACAGAGATCCTCACCTACAACACCTCATCACTGGACATCCTTTGCTCATCCCGCATCCCAGAACCTGGGAGGGAACAGGGCAGGGATGGTGAAGGGTGGGAGCCAGGGCCACTCCACAGTTTGGACCTTAACACCAGCTCCAGCTATGATGAGGATTTCAACCATGAACCATGTCAAAAGAAAGGCCATAAGGCCCACTGGGCAGTGAGTGCAGGTGGGTCCACCCCACCTTTGTCCCTATATGCTGCTCCCAAGCCCCCGTTCATATTGGGTCTGCACTGAGGGTGTGAACAAGAGCTTGGCCACCCCTTCCTCATGCAGTACTTCGCAGAAAGCCCAGCAAGCAGCAGGTCCCCCAAGTATCTACCAATTAAGAGTTCCCACAAACAGCCTCAGAGCACAGACTGGGCGGGGAGGCACTTCCGAGCCTCTTCAGACTCCGTCATTCTGCCTAAGGCTCTTCACCTCCCTGGGCCTGTTGCCCTTGTGGAAACTGAGGAGGTGGGGTAGGGGTATTTGCTTTCTTCACAAAAGCACTTTGAGAGGTTCAGGGGATACTTCATGGAAGGGATAACATGGCAGCTGATGACTTGATTAGTAATGGAGGAGCTTGAGGTACAGCTGGTTCCTGTTGACCAGGAAGCAGAGCTCCACCCAGAAATGGAGACTGGACTATAACCCTGCACTGGCACTTCAGCCCCACCCCAGTGGTCCGCTCCCTCCAGCAAGGTCCCACCTCCCAAAGGTTCCCCCAGCTCCCTGAATAGCGCTGCCAACTGAAGACAACGAGGCCCAGCACTTACCCTAAGGGGGAGAGAGCACATACAAACAAAATGGAGGCCGCACTGCCTCCTCTAAGGCTGCCTGACAGGCATGTGACTTCTGTAGAACATGGTTGACACTGCGTGTGCCTGTCACCAGCACTGTCATTAGCATTCTGCCTGCCCGCCTGGAAGAAGGGCAGATTTGTATTTCAGGCTAGGACGGAGGCTCTGCCTGGCTTCCGGATATATGTCTGGCTCTGTGTGGGGGTCTTTCTGGGGCAGCTGGAGATGTGTTGGGGGTCTTCTTCATTTTCAGTGTGCTGCAAGAGGCAGGACTTGGGATACCTGAGACTTTGGAGCTGGAGGCCCTGCTCTGTACCCAGAGTCTTAACCCTGTGGCAGCAAGGCAGCACCTGGCCAGGAGGGTCACAGGGGATTCAGGAGCCTTGGCATCTAGCTGTAACCCAGGCAACTCACATCCTCTTCCTGTCCCCCAGGGGTCCTCATAGGTGTGCAGAGTGTGCCAGTCCCTGGCTACATGGAAGACTCGGAGTTGCCAGGCCTCTTCCACCCAGTGCCTGGCACACCCCACCAGCCACCATCCTTCCCAGAGGAAAGCTCCCCAGGTGCCACCTTCCTTCTCTCCAAACAGGGCAAGAGTTGGCATTACCATCTGTGGGACTACAACCAAGTCCGGGATAGCAACCTGCAGCTGACAGACTTCTCTCCTGCCAGGGCCTCCGATGGACGAGTGTACGTGGTACCCGCTGGTGGGGTACAGGCTGGCCTCTGTGGCCAGGTCCTGTTGCTTAGACCACAGGGGTGGAGCCATTAGCTGGGACTGGGGCACCCGCCTCGAAGTTATCTCCATCACTGTTAAGAGTGCCTCACTTCATGCCCTGTGTGATGTCTGTAGTCCAGCCTGTATCTTGAGGACCTCCTGCTAGAAATGTATCCCAGGACCACCCCATCTATGAAGTCACAAGCGTGACCATTGGCCAAAGTCTAAACTCATTACTTGCAGGATTAAGCACTCCTTTGGTTAAGGAAGACTTGTTTTTGTTGAGGCTGTTTTTGTTTTTTAAAGCACCATCTCGCCAGGCAGTGGTGGTGCATGCTTTTAATCCCAACACTCAGGAGGCAGAGGCAGCCTGAGTTTGAGACCAGCCTGGTCTACAAAAACTAGTTCCAGGATAGGCTCCAAAGCCACAGAGAAACCCTGTCTCAAAAAACAAACAAACAAAAAAAAAACCATGATCTCTGTCTGGGGGTGGTGGCACAGGTAGAGGACTGGTTCTCAACCTGTTGATCATAACCCCTTTCGGGATTGAATGACCCTTTTACAGGGTCTCCTAAGACCATTGGAAAACACAGATATTTGCATTATGATTTATAACAGCAAAATTACAGTTATGAAATAGCAATGAAAATGATTTCATGATTCATGGTCACCACACCATAAGGAACTATGTTAAAGGGTTTCAGCATTAGGAAGGTTGAGACCCACTGAGGGAGGGGCAGGCGTCTCTGAGTTCAAGACCATCCTGGTTTACATAGAAAACTCCATGCCAGCCAGGGTGAGACCCTGTTTCAAAAAGCAAAAACAAAAAAACGGGTCTCACTACATAGAGCTGGATGACCTAGAACTCCCAATGTAGAAGACCAGGTTGACCCTAACCTCACAGAGATCTGCCTAACTTTGCTTCCTGCATGCTGAGATTAAAGGTGTGTTCCCCATACCCAGCCTAGAGGAAGACTCGTTGGGTTTTGTTTGTTTGTTTGTTTGTTTTTTAAACAGGCTTTCTCTGTAGCTTTGAAGCCTGTCCTGGAACTCACTCTGCAGACCAGGCTGGTCTAGAACTCATAGAGATCTGGCTGCCTCTGCCTCCCAAGTGCTGGGATTAAAGGTGTGTGCCACCACTGCCTGGCTGAGGAAGACTCTTGATAGTAACTCAGCCCCTAGTGGGGTCCTCCCATCTGAATGTGACATCCGTTGGTCTCTCTTTGGGGACATCTTTTAAGACACTTCAGTTCACTGGACATCTATCTACAAGAGCCTGGACCCCCGTTACCCATCTCCAAGTTTGCTCACAGGACAGGAGCTAACCCAGCTCCCTTCTCCTTGGCCTACCTAGACTATCGCTCACCTGCCTGACAGCCATGGTAGCCTTTCAGATACCAGGACTGTAGGTGCCAACAGCAGCCCTGAGCCAAGTGTGATAATCACTGTCCTTGAGCTGACAAGATGGCTAATGGGTAAAGGTGCTTGCCAACCCTGATGGCCCAGGCCCATTGAGCAGAAGAGCCCTGATTCCCACAGGCTGTCCCCTCACCTGTATCCACTTGGTTGCTGTGGTGCGTGTGCATTCAACACAAACTCAAATATAATAATAAAAAAAATGTTAAAGCTTATTTCCCCTAACTTCTCCATCTTGACTCCAGTATCATTTCCTCTTCAGGGTCTCCAGGACCCCTCTCCTGAGAAGAGAGGAATATGATGTGGATTTTTTTGTTGTTGTTTTTAAAGATTTATTATGTATACAGTGTTCTGTCTGCACGTATGTCTGCAGGCCAGAAGAGGGCACCAGATCTCATAACGGATCGTTGTGAGCCACCATGTGGTTGCTGGGAATTGAACTCAGGACCTCTGGAAGAGCAGCCAGTGTCCTTAACCTCTGAGCCATCTCGCCAGTCTGTTTGTGTTTTAAGACAGGTCTTGTAATGTTATGCAGTCCGGGTTAGCCTTTCACACGCCACATCCTGGCCAAGCCTGGGATAGTGGTGCAGGTCTATAATCCCAGCATTTGGAGGTTAGACGCCAGAGTCAGTTTAAGCTCATCATCGCTACATGTCAAGTTCAGGGCCAGCTGAACTTGTAAGACTCTTAAATCACATAGGAAACAGTTGTGTGTGCTTCCTGCTTTATTCATCCTAACCAATCAACTATAAGGAAAGTAATAGGTACCTGGTACACCCACACAGAAGGGGGAAACAAGTCTAGGTCACCGTAGTGCTTCCAGCCCCCACGAAAAGATCACATTTTAGACTTGTATGGTGCAGTATGCAGTAAGTGGGATCGACAGCAATCTGTCTGAATCCAGACCCTGATATCTGATTGGCAGTGTTGTGGTTCATTGTACTGGAGCTCAAAGGAACTGGCCTGGGAGCTCTGTATCTTTATAGTCTAGCATAGAGCCAGGCCCAGGAGAACATACTATCTCAGTCTTGAAGAGACTGGGTCAGGTGGGTCATGGTGAGTTTGAAGCAAGCGTGGGCTACATTGCGAGTACTAAGCAGGTTTGAGCTACAAAGCAAGACCCTGTCTCAAAATAAGAACAAAAAACAAAGTGAGTGCCGAGGCACACACCTGCAATCCCAGCCCCAGAGGACCTCAAGTTCCAGACCAACCTGAGCTACAGTGAGACCTAACCTCAAAATTAGGAAAAGGGGCTGGGCGGTGATGGCGCACACCTTTAGTCCCAGCACTCGGGAGGCAGAGGCAGGCTGATCTCTGTGAGTTCAAGACCAGCCTGGTCTACAAGAGCGAGTTCCAGGACAGGCTCCAAAGCCACAGAGAAACCCTGTCTTGAAACACCACCCCCGAAAAAAAAAAATTAGGCTGGAAAGATGGCTCAGTAATTAAGATCACTCGATGCTCTTGCAGAGGACCCAAGTTTGGATCCCAGAACCCACACCAGGCAGCTCAAAAACACCTGTAAATCCAGCTCCAGGGAACAGGGGGTCCAATGTCCTCTTAGGCACCTGAACACAAGTAACTAAAATTCACACACATACAAATTTTTGTTTTGTTTTTTGTTTGCATGTGTGTCCTCAGGACACGGTTCTCTGTGTAGCTGTCCTGGAACTTACTCTGTAGACCAGGGCTAGCCTCAGAGATCCACCTGCCTCTGCCTCCTGATGCTGGGATTAAAGTTGTGTACCATCACTGCCCGGTGATAATTTTTTTTTTAAATCTAAACAAAAAATAATGGCGTTTCTGGGTCTTGAATGAGTAAGGAACCTCCTCAGCCTTCCTTACTCTCCCAAGGTGATCACTGCCCCAATTATCCCAACCCAGCATGAAGGCCCAGAGTCTGACTCTCAGCCCATATACCCAGATGCCAAGAAAATACCCACAGCATTAACTTTGTCCTGTTTATTGAGGTGCCACTGTGGGCGTGAGGCAGAATAAAGTCACTTTGCCCCGATTCCCCGGCTCGACCCCAGCTAACTACCTCATATATAAATATATATAAAGTCAGTCAATAGAAAAGGAAGACGTGGGCCCTGGAAGACAACAGGGCTTAGGGAAGAGGTAGGTTCCTGCCCGCACCAAGCCCATCTGTGTGGGCCAGGAAGCCCAGGTTCTGGAGAGGCGCTGGAGCACAGGGACAGCAGCTTCTGCCCATCCCAGAGTCCTGGAGTCTTTGGTTAGAACCAGGTAGTCCATGGTTAGGGCCAGAAGCCCCGCCCACTTGTGCTTCTGGGCAACCTGGCAGTTCCTTCTGTGTGTAGTAGGTAGGGGCACTTATTCGGTGAGGCAAGGCAGCTCTAGTTCCCAAGGAGAAACCTCCTCCCCTGCCTCAGAAATGGCTTCCTGTCACTGGACTCTCCTGAGACAGGAGAGCGCCGGGGTCCGTGGCACAAGGAGGAAGTCCTGAGACTGTCACTGGCACACACCAAGGAAGGAAGATGGTCACAGTGCTGGCACCAGTGGATGTGGCCGTGGTCTGGCCCTGCGGCAGCTAGAAGAGTCCACAGAGGAGGGTAGGCTGTGCTCGCACGCAGTGGCACCAGTCCTCAGGCAGCACCAGCAGGTGGCCCACGTCATCACAGCCTCCTCGTCCTCTCAGCACTTGGATGGCCTCCAATGGGGCTGTCACTGCCCCAGGTGGACAAGCAGCTCCCGCAGGTCTTCACAAATGATGCCTGATCCTCTGGGGAACGGAAGCCAACCGCTGGGGCTCTGGGCTCAGGAAGCCAGCGTAGGGAGGGGTTTGTGGCTCTTCAGCAATTGCCTCCCTTAGCTTTCCTAGCTGATCAGGGTGCCCCATTCATGTTATGCCAACTCTCTACCTGTCTTGTTCTCCAAATTATAGTAAGGGAACCCAGTGCTGCCAGGTCCCCCAGAGCTCCTCAGACCACACTGGTTGGGAGACACCTTGAAGCACCTCATCTTCCATCAGCAGCGGCAGGCCTGACAGCATCTTAGGGCTCCTCTGGCCAGACACGTGCTATCTTGCAAGTGAGCCTAGCAGCAGCCGATGAGATCAGCCCTGAGCCAGCCCCTGAAGGAGGCGGATCAAATTGTCCAGACCCCAGAGGTAGCCATCCTCACGGTTGCCCTCAGCCCAAGGCAGCCTGTGACTGAGCATTTGGTGGTCAGGCAGGGCCACTGTCTTGCCGAAGTCAATCATCCAGACCTTGGCCAGGCCGGTGTGGTCATGTACGAAGAGAAGGGAACTGCCCACTACCTGTAGCAGCCAGTGAGAGAAAAGCAGAGAGAGGAGCAGGCATGAGCCAATCTAGTCCCCAGTGAGCCGTAAAGCAGAGTAGAGTGGTAGACAGCAGAAACTCTGGAACGAGGCTGCCCAAGTTCAAATCCTGACTCAACCACTTATGAGCTGTGCAGCATTTAGGCAAGCATTTTACCCTCTCTGTGACTCTGCTTCCACATATACAAGCTGAGAATAATTGTATAATTTATATACATGAAGCATTTCAAATGCTTCCCAGAACACAACAAATACACAATAAATGTTACTAATTAGTGTGTGTGTGTGTGTGTGTGTGTGTGTGTGTGTGTGTGTGTGTGTGTGTTTTCTGTGGATGGCCCAGAGCCAGCCTCCAACAAGTTAAGCAGGAGTTCCCTAGCCCATTGCCTTTCTTTTCTCTCTCCTTTTTGTTTTGAAAGACCCGCTCGAAATGCCCCTGAGCCCCCTGCCCCGAAGCTGCCGGAGCCTCCCAAGCCTTCACCCCGGCAGGGCTCGCGCCCCTGGCCCGCCCCGCCTGGCACCGCGCCTCGGGGCTGGGGCTGAGCAACGAGCACCAGGTGGGCCGGCCCGAGGGCAAGCACCAGGTGCAT